ATGAGAGTGCTTCCTAACTGGAGTACGAGTTTTCCAAGTCAAAATAAATTTATTTAACACATTTTACGCTAAGAAGACAAGCTCGTTCGCTTGTCTAACTGATTCTTGACAAAATGAAGCACAAGAATCAGGCACTTTTATTGATTCTTGTCAGAAAGAGACAAGAATTATACCTTTTTCGCGTTCTCTTCTCTGGCAGGAATCAGTAAAAATGCCTGATTCTTGTGCTTTATTCTGCCAAGAATCAGTTATTGAAGGGAGTCTTTTCTTTCCTTTTAGCATCCCTGCTTTAGCTTTCCTAGCGTGCCGATAGTGTCTTTATCAAACTGAAATCAGTGGAAAACTACGTTGGAAAACTGTCTACTCAAAGCGCTACGCCAGCCCTTTCTTGTATAACCTGGTATGCATTTAAACTGCACAGAGCTAAAATTCACTCACCACATTATTTTCATCCATTTCGCCATAGTCATCATCATTAGTTCGAGTTTCATTCTCTCGAATAGCATCATCGTCCCGATCATTTTCGTCTTCATTATTTTTTGCAACCATGTCAATATCGGCGGTGCCGCCACTCTTTGACTTGTTGACTTCTTCGAGGCGTTTTGTTGTCAATGGCATTGGATCGAGATTCGTCGTTGAACGTTCATCATTTGTTAAATAAACCAACTTCGTCTTGTTCTGTTCAGTGTTTGAAATGAGTTTGGGAAGCCAGCGTAGATAGCCGATGGTGTTTTTCGAAGAATTTGCAAAGCTAAATTCTTGAAGGTTAAATGTGACCTTTTCTGTGGTTGCAATGAACGGGATGTTGAGTTGAACGAGTTTTCGACGATAGTTCATTGCCTGATCGAGGAGAGAGTTCGTTTTTGCATCACAATAGTACCATGTTTTCATTGTGACTTTGAATTGACTGTTGAAGGTGTTTGGAAGGTGTTGAAACTCGAGTGATGGTTCAGAATCGATTTTCTCTTGTTGATTTGGAGGGGTATATTTGATTAACATAATTTGCCATACACAATAGCAATCAAAGTTCAAGATACTTGAACCACGACAACGAATCCAGGCAATATTTCCTTTAGCTTCGTGGTCTGTCAATGCTTTATTTGCACTTCGATTAAATTCAATTAAAGAGATGGACCATAAACCTTGACGTACCTTCAGATGAAATTGTGATTGAAACTTTGCAGTTGGCAAAAGTTTTTCATGAAATTGAGGAGATTCAAAGTCTTTAAATTCGTACCATGAATCATCATGCAATGGTTTATACTCCCACTTACAATCTTGCTTTGGACGTTCATCATCATCGAGAATAGTTTTTTCGTGTCGAAGATTCTCGGGAGCGGCCTCTGGTGAGTAAGATGAAGTTAGAAGACTATCAAAGTATGCCTTCACTTGTGCACTCTGTAGTGCATTCATAATAGGTGTTTCGAGTAATTGATTTCGAATGTAGTAATCGGCGTTGTGGTCGACAAGAAATTTGACGATGTCTAGATGACCGTTGAAGCAGGCTGCATGAAGTGCCGTAGAGGCAGCTGTAGCACGAGGAGGTGGCATGGAAGGGTCTTCCTCATCGAGAGCATAGCTGAGGTCACGTTGGTTTTGAGCATTAACAGAACATTTAGCTTCGTCGACAAGATATTGTACAAGCTCCAACTTATTATTTCGTGCAGCTGAGTAGAGCAGAGTCGTATTCCATAGACCTGGACGATTTTTATACATTGGAAACGTTTTAATGAAATTTTTAACCTTTGTGATATCGCCGTTGAATGCAGCTGGAAAAGCGTCGAGTGAAGCATGAAGTGCTTCTATTTCTCGGCAGAACGGATGTAGAGAGTTCATCGTGAGTGGTGAGGTAAACTTACGTGTGTGACTGTCGAAGTTGTAGGAGTGAAGAAAATCTTCGAGATATTCGGCACATATTTTACTCAGATGTGGAAGACCGTTAGCCAATGTTGTTTGAATTTCGGAGGTTAACTTTTCGAGAAGTTCATTTTCAGATTCGTCTACTGAAAATGTGTTGACCTGAGTGTTGAGAGTTGAGTTTAGGAGAAGTAGATCGTCGGAGGTAGCTGGAGTTTCTGTTGTGGTGGTGGAAGAACCTGCTTGTTGTTTAGATTTGAGCTGATCAATAGCTGTTTTGATGGATTTGATTATTTTTTCAAGGTAAGGTTTGAGAACGTTGACATCGTTATCGGTACTCATTTTATAAAATCAGAGAAAATCTGTGAAAGAAAAGAAAAATTGGAAATACCAATAAGTGACAGTTTCCGCTTGTATGCTCAAAACAAGCTTCGATGGATTACCCAGGTCGATGATCGCTACAAAGCTGCGGTGTTAGTAGCGATAAAAAGTCGCGGCGTGATTTCATCGCACAATCGCGATCAGACTCGCGAAAAAAGATCGCGATTTCTATAAAGTCGCGAAGAAACGTGAGTTTCCTCATAAACTTCCAAAAGTTGCAACGAGACTCAAGGACTTACTGCGTGAGTCACGCTTTTCTGCAGAGATTTATTGAGATTTCTAATTCTCACTCTGCGACTCACGTGTCACGGTATGAACCGTGAATAGGAGCAAAAACTCAGTGCGATTAGCTTAGATAGAACTGCCTTGTGGCGCTGTGACGTTCACGAATCTCGCTTCCTGCGGTTTGTTCCTTTCAAGTTTTGTCAAATTTTCACAGTCAGATAAGGTGCACATGCCGTTAAGTTCAGTTAAACAGTAATAACTCAGTGATGAGCTGCAATAAAGCAGGATTGCTGCTGCCCTTCTAGTGTGAGCTTGTACCACAAAGCGACGAAGAAACTTCACCCTCGGCTTTTCAGTTGGAGCCCCTTTAGCGCTAACGACCGTTCTTGCTCATCCTCTTGGGATACTCTGCGAAATGAGGTAGGCGTTTCCATGCCCCATAACGGTGGTTCCCTTTTCTTGTTAAGCAAACAGAGCCGAGCAGAACCGTTTATTTCTAGACCGGAGAGCAGAGTTGGATCCGGCAGAGAAATATGCGGCCGGGCCGGCCCGCTCAATATTTCAGCCGGGCCGCAAAACGCTTTTCTTAACCGGGGATAAACCGGCAAAACCAGGTGAGTTTTTCCTGTTTTTTTATTCCAAAACGCCTTTTTGAGCGCGACCAAATGATTTCGCACAGCCTGGATCTGATTGTTATCATTTTTGACCAAGAAAAAATATTTTGGAGTTGAATTTTTTTGGACTTGCTGGCCCGTTTACGGAACTTATTCAGACCAGAGCTGTTTGCAGGCCAGGGTAGGATAAGACTACCCTGCATTTTTTTGCGTATAAAAAATAAGACTTTTCTCAGAAACAAGCCTAGCTTATACTAAAACAAGAAATCTTTTAGTAACAGAGATAGCGGTTGTAAAATTACAAAATATAATTATCTTAAGTCGAGTTTCACATTAATATAGATAAACGATCTAGTTCGTAGCTTTCAAATACTATAATAATCGAGCGCCTAGTAAATAAAAATATCTATATCAGCCATCGCAAGCAGCTTATGGGTTCCATAAGATCAAACTCGAGTGCAAATTTCGACCACTCGAGGATAGCCAAACATTCTCTCCGATTCTCCTGTCTGAAGAATTTTTAAAAGCACTATAACTTGGACAAAGAAAACAAGCTTGGATTTAGTATCTAAATAGGAAAATTCATTAATTTAAAGTATATTGTAGCACCAAACAGTCACTGTTAATATCTCTTTTCTCACGAGATAAAAAGCAGAAAATGTAAAAATGATAAGTTTGGTCGTGGAAGTAGGCAGCTGACTGAGGAGTAAATCAAATAAAAATTCGTTGCAATTCACCTAGGAGAAGTTAGGATGAAGACATTTACATATTGGAGAACACCTGTTTAATACGAAAACAACTGACTCGCTTATTAAATGCATTTACTCAATTAACGATTCCAAAAAGCTTTTACTGAGCTTGCCATTCATATAAAGTATGGACAATACGGATAACAGCGCCGAAACTATTAATTAGATTGATATTTATACTTACGTGCTCAGAAAAAGATTTTAATCACTTTTTGGGATATCTTTCTGATTCTTTGGCTCATTTATGGATGTATATTAAGCTACATAGTCTTGTTCAACTACAAAGGTATATTAATCATAACGTTACGATGTTTAACTTTACACAATACTGAAAACAGAAAGTATGAATAGTGTTTTTAAATTAAATTTACAAAAGTGAATTGATTATACTGTTCGAAAAAACCAAGTGTACTAACAATCATAAGTACAAACTTCAATAAATATTTTTTCTTCAGGCTAAATTATAATTCATTCAC